CCAACGCTCTACCACTGAGCCAAACCGGTTTCAGCTAATAGTCAACTCTTATGGGCACCAAAGACCTCCATCCCAGCCTGGGCTCTGACTTGGGTGGGCAAATAGGACCCCTGCTTTCCTGAAGGAGCCCACTCTAAGCCAGAGCCCTTGGCTTCCCATTCTGTGAGACACTGAGTCATTTCCTCTCTCCAGTCTCACCTTTGAGCCTTCCTTTTCCCTTCTCTGGAGAAGTGACTCACTGCTGAAGTGTTGGGTGACAATGAATATCAAGGATGGGCGATTGTGCAACTTGAGGATGAGGGGATGTATTTTGGATGGGAAATTCAATGGGCTGGCCGTGAACTCGAGGCTGGGGAGTCAACAATGAGTATGGCTTCATCTCTTCGGGGAAGCGGAGCAGAGAATGGAGTTCAAACAAATTCACTGAGCCGGATTTGCTGTGCAGCACCTAGTTTCACCCTTTCAAACATGTATTTCTGAGGAAGGCAAATAAAGCCAGGCACTCGGCACGACACATGGACATCACAGAGGCCGGGTCTGTCCTCCTCAGCTCTGCGGGGCCTGGCGAAGACCCTGAGAACAGGCCTGTTTCTTCCTGGGTTTTTCTCTCCAGTGAAAAAACTATACTTCCCGAGCCTGGGAGGGATGAGGGAGGACAATGTGACAGATGCAGGCTCCTGGCTTACCACTGCATTGATGCCACAGACCCCTTAGAACAGGGTTACTGAAGACCGCCCTGCGTGTGAGCAGCAATAGCAACAGCCCAGATGTTTTCCCAGATGGAAACTCACCTTCTTTCACCCAGCTCATTGGATGCAAACTAGATATTTTCTTCTCCTAATTATCATTCATGGCTTTGAGGATGAGCAAAACAAAACACATTTTTTTCCTAAAGGATGACTCCCTAGTCAGGTCACAAGCTATTCAAGATTCGAGAAGAGAGGCAGCAAAGTCACCCCACCCAGGAGGCCAAACAAATGGGAGCAGAAATACCCATAAAAGTGGAGAGAAATTTATGTGTGGGTATGTGTGTCCGTGCTGGAGGGAGGCTGCAGCTGAGAATGTCACAACAGAATTTGAAACTTTAATTCTTTGAGAAATTAAGGCAAAAAGGAAAAAAACAAAAACCTCACACCTTAAAAACTATTTGTGCAAGTCCAGAAGACCAAGAAACTTGGATTAGCAAGGAAGGTTAGTTTGATTTTTAAAGGTGCCTCAACTACAAAGAGTTTTTCTCACAGTCAGGAACCTGTGTACACACACACCTGAGTCCCTCTCGGGAAGGATATTGACCCATAGGCTCCCGAGGGGTCCCCCCACCTCAGTGAGTCACTGGCAGAGGGAGGGGAGGGCCTGGGACACTGCTGCAGGTTTCCAGCATCAGAGTAAGTTAATAGAAACGCATATGATGCACTCCCCACATGATGCACCGGACACTCACATCCTCCGACACACTCACTATAGGAGGCTGGGAGCTGAGGCCAGACTCCCAGAACTGCGTGTTTAACGGCAGCCTCAGACAGGAAAGACACCCAGTGACTTTCCCCCCAGGTCCGTACAAGTATTGGCAGGCGCTGTCTCTAAGCCAGGCTCTCCTGAGTGGACAAAGGAACTATTTCTCATGCTTCCTAAACTCACTGGGGCAGGCAGTGGGAAGGAAGGTGCCAGCCAAGCCCAAGGAGGCTTTTCTCAACTGATCATCTTGGGGAAAGCCAGATATAAATTTCACAGCTGGAATGCAAGGGTTGTGAAATGCTGGAAGGAGCCCCAAAGAGGGCTAAGGACTCTCCTTTCCGGGAAGGCGGTGGGCGGAGGGAGGGCTGGCAAGGGCTAGTGGGAGAGGAGCAGGTTGCCCAGAGGGGCCTGCCTTTCTGGGAAGCAGGAAGTAAGGCCTCAAGGAAGAAAGAAAGAAATCTCTAACCTCAGAGGTGGTGGAGGGGCCACAGATAGGGCTGGTTTTGTTTCTGAGCATGAAGAAAAGGCTCTGTGTCAAAAAGTAGCTCTGGAATAAATGAGCCAATTATGCCATAGACACGGCTTGCTATTTCTGGGATTTGGAAGCAGGAGCCTGATGGAATGTCCTCTCTAGGGTTAAATATGCAGAGTAAGCTTCTAACTCCAGGATTTAGCCTTGCCCTTGATGTTACGTGAAAGATTGCTATTTGTGCTCCAACTAGTTAGGTAAGAGCCATCAGTGAGGGTTACCACATCAGAGACACAGTCTTATGTGTCCCTCACAGGATCCCCAATCATGGGATGAGGAAGATCACACTGTATGAATGGCTAAGCCTGCCATAAGCTCCACTCTTTTGTAACCGTGAGCAAGTTGTTCATTAGCCACTCTGTACCTTAGTTTCCTCATCTAAGATTATCTATTTCATAGAGTGACTATGAGGATGAGCTAAATTCAGATGCCATAAAGCACTTGGAACAGCACTTGGCACATCTTAGTTGCTATTGAGGCATAAAAAGAGCAAATACCTGATTTCCCAGGTAGGCCAGGGCCCCGCTGCCGATGTCCGGGCTCCATCAGCTCCTCTGACCTGCAGCTCCCGCAGGCCACATTCAGACCCAGGAAGCCCATGCATCGGAATGCCCAGCCCAGAGAGCCTGACTGAAGGAAAATCAGACGTGCAGACACAATAAGGTCCGTGCTGGTTGCTCCCAGCCTCCTCTCAGGGAGGAGCAAATGCTGGTGCCAACACATTTGGGGTCGGCTTTCTCAGTTGCAAACCATGTGGTTTATCTGAAACGGGGTCAAGTCCCAGAGTGGGAAGCACAATATTACATCTGTGCTTGCTTATCTGAACCAAGTCCATCATCATTGATCATGAGATAATAGGAAGCCAGTCCTGAGAGACTGGAGGCGTGTGTTGGAAAATATTCTTGGCAACGGAGGAGGAACCATTTCTCAACCAACTGTTAACAAATTAGTAACCGGCACTGAGAATCTCAGAGGAAAGGTTCCGATTCCCTCCAAACTGCAGATTCTGGCACTTGGGAGACATCACTGCGTACCTGAGCTGCAAGAAAGGGAGATCCCAGAGGGCCAGCACCTCTGGTCTATTCCTACCCATCTCTCTGCCGCTCAGCCAACTCAGGTCAAGGGGCGGAGGCTGCAGCCTCTGTCTTGTGTCTACAGACAGCCCTCAGACCAGGTCTGACGCCCACTGCCCAGTCTGAAGGAGCGGTATGTGTGCATCCAGAAACCCAAAGACTTGTGCTTCCTTGCAATGTCTGGGGGACATACCGGCCAGAAGTATACCCAAGACAGGAAGTGAGACTTCAGACCTGTATCAGCTATACAAGAGGGCAAGTGGGGTGTCTCCACAGGAGTCCCTGCCCCTTCTGCCTAGAAAGCTGAACCTTCCAGAGCTGGAAGGGCCACCTGGGCTAAGACTGTCTGCAAACTATAGGCAATCCGTTTGAGCCTTTAAGCCTTAAAGTACCTCCAGGCCTATCACCAGGGCTTGGGGGCCCAGAAGCCAAGCTCAGGGCACAAGGAGTGTGGCCTAGGACAGGGTCCAGATTCACAGGTAGAGAGGCTCCAGATGCCACACAACCCAGCCTGGCCATCTGCTGCTGCCAAGGGAAGATGACGGTGCCTCCAGCCAGCTACTTCAGGGTTGAAAACTGCTCGGAAGCGGCAGTGGAGGCTTCTCCTGGCACTTGCCGAACAGCTCAGTTCTCATGGCTTCTGCATGGTGAGCCCTCATGGGCAGGCCTGCCCCCAAAGCAACTCTCTCTGCTCCATAATCTGCTCCCAGCAGGTAGCACTAACCTTAACTAGCTAGGCCTCCCTATTCCATCCCTGTCAGCTCCTTCCCTACTTTTACAATTCCAGGTTGCCTTCAGGGTCCATAGCTCATGTTCTTCCTCCTCTGAGAAGCCCGCCCCCCTAACTACTCCTGATGATGCTGACTTATCTTTTTTGCAGTGTATTACACCACTAACACTCCTGGGGCTTGTGGATGAGCATCTGGAGCTAGAATAGAAAGAATTAGGTATTTCTAAAAAATTGCAAAGACAGCCAGACTCACACCAATTAGTCAGTTAGTTAGTTAGTTAGTTAATTAATTAATTAACTTGTTCGTGTGACCCTAAAAGAACCTTTAGCCCAGATGGACCCCTGGGTCTTGAGCCTGCCACACAGCAAGTGTGTAATAAAGACTTTTTAGAAGAAGGACAGATTACACTGGTCTTGCAGAAGTGAGCTGCTTCCTTTTTAGTTCAGAGCACAGCAACTTCCTCCCTGGCAGGCCAGGTTCCTGCTCTGGCCTGCCAGCTCCCAGGTATCCCCTGCCAGCAGCTATTCCCTAGAGCTGCCCTAGGACTAAGAGCAGAGGGGGGTGCCCAGCTCCAGCCCTACCCACCATTTGTCCCCTCTCAGAGGAAAAGAGGTCAGCAGGAAACGGATCTGACCTTGGGGTGGCCACAGTCTCTCCCAAGGGCTCTGGAGGCCCCTGGACAGGCAGCAGGGGCCTGCAAGGGACTTCCCTTCCCGCCCTGGGCCCCATGGAAGGGAGGCAGGAAGAAGGGCCTCATAGCAGGCGTCCCGTATGGGGCTGGCCAGACAGTGAGGCCCCTGGGGTTGCAGCTATCAGCCGGAGACCAGGCTCCAGGAAGGAAGGAAGGGCAACTCTGGTCGAGGCTGAGATAAGGGGGAGCCGTGCTCAGCACAATGGGCTCCCACAAGGCTGGGAGGCCCCAACTCAGATTTTGCCCCAATTTGGCCTCCCGTCTGCTCACACAGCCCATATAAATATTTACTAATGTTTATAATCCTGCTCCGCTGGTCCCCTCTGAGGCCCTTTCCTATCTATGACCCACAGATCAGTATTCCCCAGACCCTGGGCCCGTCCAGCAAGGGCTATCAGCATTGTTCTCTTTCATGCAAGCCACAGAAACAGGCCCTTCAGGACAAAACTGTCCCCTTGTCCCAGCCCTGGGACATCGCTAACAGGTCCCAGTACTAAGCCCCTCTGTGATAGGGAACTTACGGGGCCCGGTCATGGGTGAGGCCATTCTGCCGCTGAGTGTTGATTGGTGGAAGGACAGGTTTGCTGTTGATCTCAAGTCCTCTCCTCAGGGTCTCCCGGATCTGCTCCGTGTCTGCAACAACACCACTAAGTTGTCTGGTGGTTCTTTAGACTCCCACATCCCCCAACCGGCCCTAGAAACCGGGTTCTGTAGATATGCTGGGGAAAGGCCCCCATGAAGGCCTCCTGAGCCTGCTCTAGGCATCAGCTGTGTGATCTGAGTGGGTACAGTGTGAGGACACAGGGCTGATAAAGCATTATGTTCTCAAAAAACTTTTGGTCTGAAGAAGCCATTCTTTTTTTCTTTTTTAATATATTTTATTGATTTTTTTACAGAGAGGAAGAGAGAGGGATAGAGAGTTAGAAACATCGATGAGAGGGAAATATCGATCAGCTGCCTCGTGCACAACCCCCACTGGGGATGGCCCACAACCAAGGTACATGCCCTTGACCGGAATCGAACCTTGGACCCTTCAGTCTGCAGGCTGATGCTCTATCCACTGAGACAAACTGGTTTCGGCTGTATACGTTCTCTTGAAACCTCCCATGGGTTTGGCACACCATTAGAACTGGGTCGGGTATTTGTGTTAGGGTTTTAAATTGTCCTTTATGGGAAGAAAACCTTTCGTAAGTGCTATCACATATGTAGGCATTTTATTCTTCAAAAAATGAAAAAAAATTGGAGGAATAGAAAAAAGAAGCAGAAAAAGAAGCTATATATTTGTAAATGGCTGCTTTTCTTTTGGAGTTAGTTCTGGATGCTCTTTACTAAATACCACAACTATTTCTATAGTCAAGACCAACATGATGAGCTTCTAACGAGAGAGCCATATCCTCCTCCTCCATGGCCTCACCTGGAATGTAGTGGGCACAGAGTTCCCTGTCCACAGCGCCTCGCACTGTATCTGCAGAGCAGTGGGGCAGGGAAATTTGCAAGCTGGCCTCACACTTGGGCCTCTCTTGTCTAAGGCCGGAGGCCAGAGTGATCCTCGATCTGGCATGGCTTTCAGGCCAGAGCTGGGCCCTGAGTCAATTCTATGGGTGACCGATGCTTGTTCTCTTGTACTTGGGTGGACTGTGGCCTTTTCCTGTAACTGTTCTATGGCTTCCACTCACCTCCCTGACCTCAGATTGCAAGGGATAAATCAATCTAAAACACAATCGTCACTGCTGGTGGTACATTTGAAATACACACAAAGGGAACAGGAGAAATGGGTCAGCAACGCCCCCTTAATTCCACGGCTGGAAGACTTCGTATGCTGTTTAAGTCCTGCCAGGAAAAAACTATTGAGTGGGCTGTTTATGTCAGAGACCCATCCAACAGAGCCTGAAAGCCAGGCTTGGGGAAAGAGGAGGAGAAAGGCCGGTGAGAGCTCCTACCTTTGCCGGAGAGCCGCCGGGGCTGTGTGCCTATGCAGATGCTCCGGCTGTCTTCGTCATCCTCAGGGGGCCGGCTCAGGTCATCCCAGGCACACTTGGCACTGACACCGCTTAGATTGGAGCCGTCCGTCTCGATGCCTTTGTCAACTCTCTCCTGCTTAGAAAGAACCAAAGAGCCAGAGTTCCTTCAGCGAACCGGTGGCCCAAGGTCAACACCACCTCTCCGGTGTTTACTGAGCCCTTGTAGGTGCTGAGCATGGGACAAGTGCTAGAAGAGCAGGTCCTCGGTTATTAACACACAGGCATCTCTGCCAGCCAAGCCCTCCTCCAGAACCAGGGATTAGGGGAAGCCAGGAAGAAGAAAAATCCCAAGAGAAGCTTCTCTTCTATCATCAATCTTCAGTAAAAAACCCTTCACACCTGTTTCAATGCCTCAGCTCTGCTCAACCATGCGGCCTGTGTGGCTAATGTGGCAGAACCAGGAACTATTTCCCTGAGGAAAAGCAGTGCTTCCTCTCCTCCCATCGCCCAGGAAGAACCTCCTCAGTTGCTACTACAGAGAACAGGATGGAAGCTGGCACAGGTGGGAGAGGCCAGGACTCAGATCAACTTCTCCCTGGCTCCACATCAGCAGTTCCCTCTTCTAACAGCAGGGGGTGTCGTCACAGTGAAGCACCACCACAGAGCAGAAGGGCGGGACTTCCTGCACTGCTAACTTGTTCGACAAAAGACTTTGCATGACGTTTCTTTTCCGTTTCTTGGAATGAAATGGGTGCCTGGAGGTCAGTGACCATCTGCAGACCTCACCTGAGGCCCTTCTTTCGTGCAGGCCTTGGCACTGTTGAGTCCAAACACCCTCCAAATGGCCTTGCCAAATGGCCTTGAGGAAGAGTCATGCCCAAACATCCCACCCCTGGGGTTTCTGGTAAAACATCGCTCTGTGATGTTGGGCTTTGGATTAAAGGTCATCTGGAAGGCTCTAATAATCTTGCTCATAAACAACCATGTGGGCCAAACAAAGCTCCCGAGTGAGCTCCTCAGAAAGAGTCCGCACGCCTTTCTCCTCAGGCCTCACAGGCACCATCTGGCTGCTGCTGGGCTAGGAAGCCTCTCTGGGGAAGCACAAGGTAAGCTTACATACTAGTAAGGTCCTTTTTCTTGAGACCAGGCCTGGCTCTGTATGCCTCCCTCTCATCAATCACACTCTCCTCCTTTCCAGTGCTAGCACCGCATAGACAAAGTTGGGCTTCTGAGCAGAGACAGGGACAGGCTGAGGAAGGGAGCAGCTCTGTGCTCCAGGCAGGAGCATGTGGGCCCTAGTTTGCTCAGGGTAGAGTCTGACTTTTCCCCTCTTTCTAGTGGCCACCCTAAAGCCCTTTACTGAAGCAAAAAGCTAAGAATACCTCTTGGCTCAACTAGCTAAGACCACTTACTTTATACGTAAAAAAGAGTTAGTGCCTAGAGAAGTTAAGGGACTTGTTTAGGCGCACAGCTACCCAGTGGTAGAGCTTGGAGCAAAGGAACAGGAGCCAACTCTAAAATGAACCACTTGCAAGCAGGCCCGACTGGCACACATGAGCACAAAGGAGTTCCCACTTGACACAGAGTCACCAGGAAAAAAGCTGGATTTTCTCATCAAGGGCTGCCTGCTTACTTTTTTATTTATTTATTTATTTATTATTATTATTATTATTATTATTTTTAATCACCACCTGAGAATATTTTTCCATTGATTACTAGAGAGAGGGGAAGACAGAGAGAAATATCAATGTGAGAAAAGCACATCGATTAGTTGCCTTCTGCATGAGTCCTGACTAAGGGCCCAGGCCGGGGAGGAGTCTGCAACCGAGGTACATGCCCTTGACCGAGTCAAACCAGAGATCCTTCAGTCCGCAGGCCAATGCTCTGTCCACTGAGCCGAACCACCTAGGGCTGCCTGCTTACTTTTAAAGACCTCTAGGGCCTTGCCAGTGTGGCTCAGTGTTGAGTATTGACCTGTGAACCAGAAGAGTCACGGTTTGATTCCTAGTCAGGGTATATGCCCAGGTTGTGGGCTCCATCTCCCATGTGGTGCATGCAGGAGGCAGCAGATCAATGATTTTCTCATCACTGATGTTTCTTTCTCTCTCTTCCTTTCCCTTCCTGTCTAAATCAATAAAAATATATTAAAAAACAACCTCTTAGGTACTCTTGGTCCTGTTAGTTGGTTGAGGGGGGAGCCTAAAGATTAGGAAGAGAACTATTCTTAGCATGCAGGAAATGATAGGTTGCTTACCCTATTAGCTCAAAGGACTGGTTCTTTCTCAATCCTTGGCACTTGTGATAGGGGTAAAACAACAGCCCACAGTGTTCCACCATGCTGAATCCAGTGTGGCTATAGTACAAGGGTTTAGGGAAATATACCCTTGGTGGTACCTTGTTCTTGCATAAGCAGAAGTTACAATGAAACCAAGTTTAAAGTACAGATTACAGAGGATCCTGGCAGCAATTTGAAAACTTCAGTGTTAAAGGCACTAGGAAAATAGAGGAGCATCATCTGTGAATGAGCCGGGTTTCTACCCAAGAACTCACAGGTCTGCAGTAAAGAACGCAGAGGGGCCGAAACCGGTTTGGCTCAGCGGTAGAGCGTCAGTCTGCGGACTGAAGGGTCCCAGGTTCGATTCCAGTCAGGGGCATGTACGTTGGTTGCGGGCACATCCCCAGTAGGGGGTGTGCAGGAGGCAGCTAGTCGATGTTTCTCTCTCATCAACGTTTCTAGCTCTCTATATCTCTCGTTTCCTCTCTGTAAGAAAAATCAATAAAATATATTAAAAAAAAGAACGCAGAGGGGCTGCTGGCTATGTGTCCACCTCTTCCCTGCCACCTCTTATCCCTCCTACAGGACATGTATAGTAACTCCTGACAGCTGCCTGTGTCCTACAAGATTTTCATAGAAGCAATGACCTGCAACTGGCTGGGGGAAAGGAGAGGCAGACACATGCCAGGCACATTATAGCTACCTGCTGCTCCTGCATCAGAAGCAACCAGTAAGAAAGGAAGTTATGCTCTATGTGGCTTCGAAAATTCACCTGCCTGCAAAAAATAGTGTTTCTTCTAAAAAATCAAAGATGACATTGAAACTCTAGAGCCAGGCCACATGAGTGGGCAACTGTAGGCCTGTGTGTATAAAGACTTCCTTTACACATCAAGAAATTCCAGCCTACCCAGGGAAGGAGCTTGGTATCTGACTGATCAAGATGAAAATGTATCTAGAAAGGGGATAAGATCATTTGACCAATCAGGACTTCCCACTGCATCACCTATTCTGTCTGTTATAGGATTTGGTGACAGTGGTGGGATGGCTCCCAGAAAGAAAGTCTGTGTTCTTTATAGAAGGGGGATGTGGGAGGGTGAATACTGGGTAAGCTATATCCACTATTATTTAGTTGCTAGCGATCATATTTTTGAACATCAGGTTTATTGATATGAGATTTGCATACAATAAAAGTATCCTTTTAAAATTAAAAAATACATGCGTCTGAGACCAGTTTTTCTGGTCTGAAATCTCTGCTCCCTTAAGCACTCTGCAGAATTCAGAGGACAAGTTCCAAATCATGCCATATGTCATTCACTCACAAATAAAGCTCCTTGTTTTCCCAGGATGAAAGCCAGTGTTATTTGGAAGAGGCCTAGGCACAGTGTGCTAGAAAGGTTTTCCTCACTCAAGACATACTTGCAGGTGTGGATCGATCTCAAATATGGTCTCTCCCCTCCGCATGTCAGTTATCAGCCAGGGGCCGCCAGCGCTGTGGATAAAGAAAGGGGGCAGGAGGGTCTGGGCTGGGCCTACAGCCTGCCCTGCTTGCTGCCCCAGGCACAGAACACTCAAGGTTAGTGGTCGGGGGCCATCAGGGAGTGAGTTGTCAGGAAGCCCTGATGTGAAAAGCCAGTGACTGAACAGCAATGTAAGGGGAAGCCCACATGTGGGGGAAGAAGGGGGTCCCACCCCCAGGCCTGGGAAGCCAGGCACCCACCTCATAGGGAGGGGAGGTACTCACATGGGCACCATCCGCAGCAGCTCCAGGATACCCTGCCCATTCCACTGCTGGGCTGCATGGAGCTCCTCAGTGCAGACACCAACGATCTGAGACCCAGAGACAAGATGCCATAGTGTGTTAATGGCTAATCCTCCCACCAATCCAGAAGGTCAGCCACCCAGACTCTGTGTCACTTCAAGTGATGGGACTACAGGCTAGTACATCTGAAATGGGATGGTTCCCTTAGGAGGAAATAATTGCCTGGCCAGGGTATGGATGGGTCCACAGATGTAGCACTAATGGCTGATTTTTGCTCTGCTGTGATAGGTCAGGTTTCTGGTGACACAAAGTTAAGTCCTTGACTGCAGAGAAAATCAGGATGTCCCTAGAAGTAGTGGAGGCCCTGGGATTATAGGGAATGTTGCTGCCCAATCTGGGATCATGGGGAATGTAAATAGATTTTGAAACTCTTCAAGCTCGAAACAACAACCAAAGGGCCCAGCAGATGGCAGAAGAGCTCCCTTCCTCATCAGGAGCTAAGCCTTTGATAAATCTCAAGAGAAACAACTGAATCTTCACGCAGACCCATCAGGATCGCAAAGAGGCCCTCTGCAGCGGGGATGGATGCATACCCCAAGGCTGGGAGTTACTGTGCCTCTGGCTGCCTGGGTCTTAACTAGTTTACAGAAATACCCTCCCTGTTACCCGCCTCTGCTACCATCATCCTCTCCTACCCAAATGGTCCCTTTCCTTTCCCCCTTCTTCCCTCTCGGCAGGTTAAATCAGACCATCTGAATAGACATGGTAAACAGATGGAGGAGAAAATGGGAAAAGAACAAGGAAATCTCCCGTTCCTTTCACTCCCCCAACCCAAGCCCTCCTGCCCTCGCAAGACGTTTCCTACAGGGAAGGCTCTTGCCCATGTCCAACCTGTGCCTCACCTGGAGGAAGGTAACTACCCCAAAGGGTGTCTGCACGGGTTGCATCTGCGGGTCCTCTGTCAGCAGCATGTGCTGGATTCTTGACTCACTGTTATCCAAAGGGCTGTGCCAAGACACGTGATCCCCACTGCAGAAGGTGTTCTCTGTGGGAGAGACAAGAGAATTCTCAGTGTTTGAGGCCCTGCATCCAGGCCCAGAACTCAACCTGGGATCTGAGAAACCCAGGCAGGAAGGCCCCTCCCAGCCCCCCAAGTTTTCCAAGGGAGTCTATGAAGGAGGGGAAGCATTCGTGCAGATGAGAGCAGGGTTTGAATGTTTCCCCCAAGCCAAATGCACTCCTTCTGGCCAGTTCTGCCAGCCTTCTCCAGAAAAGGACAGGCTGCTAGTGTGCATGCTCACTAGGCCTGGCAAGTCCAAAGCCAGAATTCTGGCGTCTGCTCCACTTCCCCAGCACCTTCACTTCTTGGGGTGGGGGTGGGGGACAGTCATGATTGGACTCACCAAGAAAGAATAAAGTGCTTTATTGTGGGGCCACCTGAATAGGAGACTGGAGGGCAGTGAAAGCCTTTTACCTTGGACAAACAGACCAGGGTTTAATGTACTGCTGAGACTGCTCAAAAGAGAACACCTCACCTTGCAGGGCCTTTGAGACCTGTCAGCAGTTTCCCCCAGGAAGACAGATTTAGGGGACAGTTCCTCAGGGAGGAACACTGGAGACTAAACAGAAGTCTGAATTGTGCCTCACACACTGCGGCAGAGACATACAGACCTGGGGGCGGGAGGCTGTTTCCATGAGGACACAGATATTGTGCCCAGGCTGCCCAACAGAAATATGTGCAAACACAGCCACCTCATAGCCTCACCACTGACCTTCACACAGATCCATCACTCAAAAAGTTTAAGGCTGCATAGCCACAAGGGAAAAACCACCTATGTGGTATGAAGTCTTCCACTACCCCTGACTTTCATCTTGGGTGATCTTCCAAAGGAACTAGGCATTTACCGCCTGTATGTATCTATAGGTTCTCTCTATCTTGTTTCTTCAAATACATATACAACACACCATTTTGTACATTTCATATATCTTGGAATCATTTCACATCAGCACAGAGAAAGCTACCTCATTCTTTAAATGGCAGTTCACCGTGGTCTATCACATATAACGTAGGGAGTCTCAACAGCTGAGGTCCCTTCACTTTTTATCAATATTTGAAGCAAGTTAGAAAACACACACACACACACACACACACACACATCAGTCTGAAGGCCTGAGAGCACATCTGCTCTCATTTGTCTTGGTCTAAATACTCCTTCCTGTGTCAGGTGAAGTTATACACTACTTTTTCTAGCGTTATTGGTCCTAACCTCAAAAGCATTCATTCAGGGAGAGAAGAAAGACTTCTTCCTCTAAGAGACATGAAACAATAAAGGGGAGAGAGAGCCTGGCTCCAGGCAGAGCCAATCATAAACCCCCAAATTTCTAAACTCTTTCTGAGCTCACTCTGCCCAGGTTTCCTCTCCTTTACAGAAGTGCATGTCTATAAGTATCTTCAAGTTAGAAACAATGTCAAAAGTAGAAAGAATGAATTAGTAATTAAAAGCTTCATCCACAATTAAAGGGTCCAGGTCCAGATGGCTTCACTGGTAAATCCTACCAAATATTCAGAGAAGAATTAATAGTAATTCTTCACAAACTATTTTTTTTTAAAAGTACCACTTCACAATTAATTCTATGAGGCCAATATTACCCTGATACCAAAATCAGACAAAGGCACCATAAGAAAAGAAAGCCATAAATCAATATCTCTGATGCATAGACACAAAGTCCTCAACAAAATACAGGCAAACTGAACACAACAACATATGAAAGGGTTATACACAATGACCAAGTGAGATTTAACCCAAAAATGCAAGGTTGGTGTAAAAGTAACTTAAAAAAATAAATGTAATATTGATATAGTATGTCAATAGACTAAAGGTTAAAAAAAACACATAATCATCTCAGTAGACACAGAAAAGGCATTCAGCAAAATTCAATACTCTTTCATGATAAAACACTCAAACTACAAATAGATAGGAACTTCCTCAATCTGTTAAAGGGCATCTACAAAAAAACTACAGCTAACATCATACTTGTTGGTGAAAGACTGAATTATTTCCCTCTAAGATCAGGAACAAGACCAAGATTCCCACTCTTACCACTTCTATTCAACACTGTACATCACGAACCTTAGAAACATTACACTAACCGAAAGAAGCCAGTCCCAAAAGGCCATATATGATGCCATTTACACGGAATCTCCAGAACAGGCACATCTGTGTAGACAGATAGATTACTGGTTGCTAGGGAGGAATGGAGAGTGACTGGTATGAGTCTGCTTTTGGGGGTGATGAAAATGTTCTAGAGTTCATTGTGGTGATGGTTTCACAACAATGAATAACATGGTATGTGAATTACATCTTAATAAAGATATTAAGAAGAAAGGAAGGCCCTGGCTGGTTTGGCTCAATGGATAGAGCATTAGCCTGAGGACTGAAGGGTCCCAGGTTCTATTCTGGCGAAGAGCACAAGCCTGGGTTGTGGGCTCCATCCCCAGTGGGGGGAGGGTGGGAAGGGTGCAGGAGGCAGCTGATCAATGATTCTCTCTCATCATTGATGTTTCTATCTCTCTCTTCCTCTCCCTCTCTCTCTAAAATCAATAAAACACTTAAAAAAAGAAGAAGAAAGAAAGAAAGAAGGCAAAAGGAAGGAACCTGGGGGAGAGGCAAAGTGTGTGAAGCCAGGCCAACGCCCTGGATTCCTTTTCACCACCTCCTCCAGGTAAGCACCCAGCATGGGAGAGGCCTCACTCATAATGCCCAGACACCACACTTATTATAAGTCTAGGTGACCCAACGACCACCTAGTCCAACATTTTCATTTTCTACAAATGAAGAAAGGACCCTCAAGACTGCCCAAGGTCATAGGGCAAGTCAATGACGACAGAGCACAGGGAAATGTTTCCCAAACTTCCGAGTTATCCATAACACTGGCCGGATTTCTTACATCTATCTGTGTACCACCTGTGTCTCCCCCTTTCCCACTAAAACTGACTCACTTTAAAAACCTAAGCAAACTTCCTTTAAATAGAAACCTTCCATCACAACACTACACAGGGAAAATCAGTGTTGCTCACTGTAAAGTAGATGACTTCAAAATGATTGAATGAAAACAAAATATTTTAAATCTCTAACAGATACTGTTGCTTACCTAACCTTGTTAAAACTGAAATGATCAAGGGTTAGAGCTGTTAAGAATTAAAAAGTGAGTCATATCAACTGACAAAAACAGCAGGACTGAGTCAGAGCTCTGAAGAGGAAAGAGAGTCCTCACTACTCATGTTACTGGAAGCCTTGTCCAGTTTCCACCTAAATCTCCTGCTGGCTTTGGCAAATCATGGCATCGTGGTTAATTTTGCAGTTGGGAAAGCCCTGTTCCTACTTGCCTCTGCCCCTTACTAGCTGTGACCCTGGGCAACTTCTAAGCCTGTTTCCCCTTCTGTAAGTAGGAAAAGAGCACCCACTTAGAGTGCTCTCCACTGCTGCATGTTATGACTCCACGCCTGACCTGGAATACAGTACAGCTACTCCACCCAGGTCCTACTTCCTTTACCAGGAAGCAGGACCAGCCACAGAGCCTGTAGCTAACAGCAGTTGCCACTAGGTGGCACCAGCACTCCTGATTTTAAAAAGCTGGGCCAGTTCCCTCCAATGCTTCAGGTCTAGCAGACTTTTGGTCTGTAGAAATATACCCCAAGCCTGAAAGATACTTAGACTGGCAATAGGGAAAGGACTGGAAAGGTTTGAAGCCATGATCTTTTATGAACTAGAATCGACATTTATTTTGTCTAAACCTAAACTGTTTAAATGAAGAATGACTAAAAGGTATACTTAAGCCAAAACCGGTTTGGCTCAATGGATAGAGTGTTGGTCTGTGGACTCAAAGGTCCCCGGTTCGATTCTGGTCAAGAGCATGTACCTTGGTTATGGCACATCCCCAGTGGGGGGTGTGCAGGAGTCAGCTGATGGATGTTTCTAACCCTCTATCCTTCTCCCTTCCTCTGTAAAAAATCAATAAAATACATTTTTTAATTAAAAAAAATAAAAGGTACACTTAATTTGGGAAGGAGTGCAAGTTAGGCAGCTGGGAGAGGAGACTGTAAAGCAGGAAAGGGAAACAGACCCAGTTGCTGTTCTAGGACCAACACACCTCCCTGGTGTGTGTGATAAGCTCTGGCAATGTACTAGCAAGTTAAGGAGGGCAGGTGAGGAGAAAGCATAACCACACACAGAAAGGTTTAAAGAGCAGGAGGCGAACAACCTTGTAGCCGGGGACAGTGTTTTCTTCCCTACCCCTGCCTGATGGGAGAACTAGATGTATTAGCTCTGCTGTGGCCAAGAAACAGCCTTTCTTAACAATCAAAGAGCCTTGGTCACAGTTTTCAAGCTTGGGACAAAGCCACAAAGGGCTCATTCTTGAGTCTGCTCTGGTCTTTATTTCTGGATGCTCAGCCCCATTCTGTGTGGAGCCACGGTGGGTCTCAGCACTCAGGCCCCAGCGCTCACCCCAGGAAGCTCTCAGCCCCCTTCAGAGGGTTTTCAAATGCTAATTCGGCCTCAGTCAGAGGCCCAGCTGTTCCGCCCAGTGGTTAGAGAGCGCCTCCCTCTCCCTCTCAGACTGCCTGAAGTACCCTAACCAAGAAATTAAGATGCAAATCTCTGGGACCCCTACCCAAACCACGCAGCAGAGGGCTCTCTGGGATCCGAAGGCAGGTCTTTCCCCTCTTGCTCTGAGCTCCGTCTCCAAGTACCATGAGAAACCTCCCTCAGCTGCTGCCTGTTTGGCAAATTCACCGGAGAGGAAATACCACCTCAGGGTGGCAAAAGGCATCCAGAAGCTTCCAGGTACAGCTCTGCCCTTGCTTTGTTGACAGAAAGGTTTTGTTACTCTATGTCTCTATCCCCATTAATAAACAACTCCCTGGCGAGAACTATTTAAAAAGTTGGGGGACAGGGGTGTGGGCGTGTAGATTCTAACTGGTCCCTCAAATTGACCCAACTCCCACCAAACATCCAGCTTTAGTCATGGTGGTTTGAAGCTGGA